GAAGCCAGTTGCTGTTCCCGTGATGAAGAATACGTTTGGTAAGCTCATATTTGATATTTAGTGTGGTACGTGATGATCGTCTGATGCTAAACTGGATAGGCTACATGTGTCTCATAAAGTCACATTGAGGTGGAGGCACAAATGAATTTTAATGATCGAAGTTTATATGCAATTACGTAATGTCTTGATCTTGCTTGTGATTCATTCAAGAAATCTTCGACTGACATGCTGGGTATATTCGCTTGGCTTCAAGCAGCGGAGTCAATTATGTATTAAGGCACGATGTCCCGTCCATCGGCGAACAGTTTTTTTATGCACTTGGTCTCATAATTCGTTCTGCGTTGCTCAAGTTACCAAAAGAGGAAATCAATTGCTACCGATCTCGAATGGGTATCTGAGTATCGCATGTAAAATATCACTGAATGGGATGGGCTTGAGCAGTCTATTTGGCTGTTAAGCTGAGATGCGACCCTAGAATACTTACTGGGATTTGTTCTTCGAAAGTCACAGAGCATCGTCATCGAGACACACACCAGGACAAGCAAACGGAATTCACAAAAACTTCATTGAGCTGTTGTTGCTATCATCAATTCTTATAGTCAGTAGACACTGAAAACTGTTTCCACTTGTTGGCGTTATCAATAAGATCTTGACCTTTCTTTATAATGCCCTCGTAGCTGTCAGATCCCAATGCGACTCTAGTGGGTATTTCACCGTTACTTATCTGCTTTGCAAGGCCGGTGTGCATCAACAGCTCGATGATCCTTTCGCATCCAGCTTTAGGATCGCCGATTTGAGCACCATTCTGCTCTTTTAACTCCTTACCCATAGATCCTCTGATGGGCTCGTAGTCCGCAATTGGGTTCCCAGGTGGCTGTACGTTGCTTCCCTGATGTTTTCATCAGCAAATGACGTAACGAGATGCGATAAAAGGAAACTCACCTCTTTGAGAAAGCTGGTACGGAAGTAGCTGAATATTGTAAATTTTCAGTGGTCATTACTATCTTCGCAGTAGCTCACCCTGGTTCGACCATCAACACCTTGATGCCAAGGTGCTGAGTCTCCATCTTGAGTGCTTCAAACGATGCCTCAATCGCGTACTTGGAAGCAGCGTAGTAGCTGAAATATGGCCATACGTTGATGCCGACTATCGAGGAGACCGTCAATATGAATTTTTCTCCACTCGTGCGTCCGCGGAAGTGAGGAAGGAATGAGTTGGTTACTTTAATTGTACCCCAGTAATTGACGTTGAATTCACGTTGTGCTATAGATAGTGGGACTTCCTCGACGCATCCAGTTACTGAGTAAGCGGCGTTGTTGATGAGATGCGTAA